CACGTATAGTAGGATTGGGATAGCCATGCGTTACGTCAGTTGATTTCTCTATATTTGACTGTTGCCTACTTCAACTGCTGTAAGAACTGTTCTCAGTGGAAAAAGCGGGTCTACCACCCAAAATTTGATTTCTTCAATTATCTCCTCCTTCTTTTGCTTGAGCATTTCAAAAGTAAGGGAGGAAAGAAACCTTATTTGCTTATTTTTGTATCTAATCAAGATTCTGATGTACCAAGTTCAGCTCAGAAATATTTGAGCCTCAGTGTGTCCATTTTCTCTTAATCTTATAGTGTATAACTTCTAACTAATTGTGTGCACAATTTTAGTTGTCTGGATTTTTTTCATATGAACAACTTCAATTGATATTTCTCTTATCTTAAAGCTGCAAGAGACTCCTTACACAAGTTTATAGTATCAATCACTTGAGCAATAAATCATGGCTATGGAAACCAACCATGTAGGGATCCACCTGCACAAACAATGATCAGGAACATAAAACAAAAAAGACCATAAATCTCAGACCTGCTGATGAGTAATTTTTGAAATCAGTAAGAATGCATGTCTAAAACAACTGGCTACAATAATCAATTAAGCTGACAATGTGTTTAGTTAATAGTTCATTGAAAACAATACCAACCCAGTGTTAGTTTAACATGAAAGTAAGGGTTCTGAATTCCCAGATGAAGCAGAGTGTTAAACTGATATGCTATTATTACAATTCTCTTATTCTGCACCATGGGTGTAGCTATTAGTTTGCATATAAATAGCAATAGATAGTTCTATTTAATTCCTTGCATTTTCATGTTTGAGTAAATACATATATTTTAAGATTAAGATGGTATTTGTTTTTTATTAGTTATAGAGTAGGATCATCATGCAGTGATCCCTTTCCAGGATTAAATTAGGATTGAACCACTCTATTATAAGTTATGGAACTGAATTTTGATACCATCCAAACTCAGTTGCCACTGTATGGCTTTTTCCCCCAAGAGCAGATTACGAGGCTTCATTTTACACCCAAGTGAGCATGATAGGTTCATACAGCAAGCAACAACCTCATTCAGTGGCAGCCAAATACGACAATTCCAAATAGTAGTGTCAGCCCTTTTAATGAGGACTTTATTACCTGCCTTGGCGCAAAAGACAAATTTAAATCTATGTTTACATATAAACATATATAAGTTTAAACCCGGCAAGACCATTCCCATAAAAGGGTCATCTCCCTATTTGTCTGTTTGGAAATTAGTTGCTCTTGGTTTGGCTTATTCCAATTAATATCATTTGAAGAAATATCTCTGCGGTGGATTGGATCGTTTGGTCATTCGTAACGTGCTGTTGATTTAAGTTCTGCACAGTTTTAAGGTTCTTCATAGGACTTTCTGCAGGAATCACTCAGAGAATGTTCTCTTTCTTTTCTGAGACGTATTAAGAGGAATGTTGTAACACAATACAAGAAGCTTATCCAAGTATACCTTTGATTTGAAAAATGTGGAAACCTGCTGCCTTCCAGTTGCGGTGGAAATGTAGCTCTCATACTTCCCATTTATAACTTGGGGAAAGTTGTTCTAAATACCCTTAATAAAACGGAAAGCCATTTTGGAGTGTAGAAAGGCAAAGAGGCCATTCCAAGCTTCTTTGGAGCTGTTGAGGTAGAATTTACCTGCAGCCCTCCAAAGGCCACATCAGCTGTTCAGCATGGGATCTGAATTCAGCATATCTGATGGATATTGGATTGGGGAAACAGTCTGTAAAGTAGCCAACTCCAAGATAAATGAAAACAACGAGTCCATGTAAAGCGTAATGAAATGCTATATTGCCTACAAACATCTCAAAATTCACTCTCAATCAAGCTGGTGTAATTTTTTTTCTCGGGGTTCTCATAATTGACCTATTTAAATCAATAAAAGCTTATTTGATACAGGCTTTTTAATTAGACTATCTAGCCCTGCCTTGGGCATGAAAATCAGCTGGGTGACTTTGGGCCAGTCACTCGTTCTCTCTCAGCCCAACTCACCTCATAAGGTTATTGTTGTGGAGAAAATAGAAAGAGGAATGAGTATTAGGTTTGTTTTCTGCCTTGAGTTACTTATAAAAATAACTAAAAAAATAAAAAATGTAAAAACAAGAGTCCACTGAGCATAATGGACACCAACTGGTAGTTTACTGAGCCAGATTCAAGATGCTGGAGTTGCAGAACCTTGGAGAGCTCCAAACAGGCCATTGTCTCCAATGAAGTTTGGCTTTATCCTGGATCATTCCTTTGGAGTTAGTCCATTCTCTTCCTGAAAAACAAGAGCTTCTAGGATGGTCCAGAGTCTGGCACTGTGTCACTTCTTAGGCACCTCCCAACTTGTGCATTGCCTCCACTGAAAAGCAGGCAGAAGAAAAAGTGAAATTTATCTGGGACAGTCCAAATTCAGGTTGTCTGACTCAAGAGGAAATTGTTAGAATTCCAGCTCAGTGTTGGAATCCAAATCTATCATCCCTGCAAACAATCAGAAGTCAGGTCACCCAGCTGTAAGGAAAGAAGCCCAGTCAGTCCTTGTTCAGTTTCCTGACCTGCGCAGAAGACCACTGTGCTTCTGAAGATTGCTGGTGAAACATCAGGAAATCTGTTGTTTAGACCATGGTCACTAAACCCTGAAACTCAACACTGCCCAACAGACATGAGCTAACAAAGCCTATACAGGTATCATTGCCTTAAAAGTTGTCTAAAGCAGTGGTTCTCAACCTGTGGGTCGGGACCCCATTTGGGGTTGAACGACCATTTCACGGGGGTCACAAACAACGCAGTCCGCCATTTTTCCCCCTTTTCCTTAGCTGTGCTACTCCCTTTTATTCTATTGGCTTTTGAAAGCCAATAGAATAGACTCTCTTGAATAGAGTCTAATTCTATTTGCTTTCAAAAGCCAATAGGAATTGTCCAGGCTGTCTCTGCCCTGTTGAGCCCACCAAAAGTCCCATTCTGCAAACGGTGCTGCACCAGTTGAGTAGTCCTCGACTTACGACCAGTTGGGGGTCGTGGCATTAAAAAGGTTGAGAACCACTGGTCTAAAGCATGAGTGTTCCGCATGTCTTTTGGTTGGTGTGTCAAAGAATAGATTCTAATCCAGGTTTATGCCAGCACAAAGAAGTAGGTAGAGTTACTGGACAGTATTTAATATTTATTTGTTATGTATATGTAGGGGTGTGGGTCTATACATATGTTGTACATAGTATGTTTAGGTGTGTGTCATGTATGTGTTTCACTTTGAGAGTGGGCAACTAAATTTCATTTTTGATGTGTGCTGCTGTGCCCACAGTAAAAAAATGACAATAAAGGTTATCTCATCTTATCTTAGGACAAAAAATAAACTAGATCAAATATAATTTTATACGCAGGTTAAATTAAATGTAATTGATGTCATTTTTATATGTTTAATATATTTCCACTTCTGTTATATTAAAAAAAATCACACATTGATTGAATCAGGTAACTCTTTACAAGTAACTTAATAAATTTCTATCAATTTTGGATGGACTTTCAATGCTACTTTGAGAGCCATATGTAATCCTGCAATCTCAGGCTAGATAATCCTGTTCTAAAAAGTATACAGCATTCTAAAATCCTTCAATATTTTTTGAATTGTTAGGCCTCTAAAGAAAATTCTGTATTTACACATTATAAAATTTTAGAATTACTTTCCCCAACTTGATACTCTCCAAATGTGTTAAACTCCATTAATTCTAGGTACCTTAGCCCAAACCAAAGTGACTGGAAATTATTAAGTTTGTAGTTAAATTTATCTGTGGGTACTAGGTTGGGGAAGGTTACAACAGAGGATGTATAGAATCAAGTATTTAACCGTAGAAGAATTCAGTCCTGCATAGATTAACCCTGAACAAGCTCTCGCTGAGCTTTGGGACATGAGTTTTAGATAAAAGCTTAAAAAACACATGTAAATGTGATATTTTCTATTATACTGTATTATACACTATATTATTCTATTATAGATATAGTGATGGTTTCTAATATTAGTTTGCCCTTGGTTAATTCTATTTTAAATATTATTTAAATGAAGGATATTGTAATTTTAATGTATCAAAACAAAGCCAAAACTCACAGCCAATTTTTCCAAGAATATTTTAGTAATTTGATGCAATGACGAAGAAATGTACATTACTGTGGTGTTACAAATGTTGTGAGGGGAGGGGATATCTTGCTTCAGGTTGATAAGGAACTGTTGATGAGTATCCCAAAGATGCTTTTTCAAAAGGCAACTGGACTTTCTGTGTTTTTTCTCCTGAAGTTGCTTTGCCATGATAACCACGACCCTGATGACTGAGAATTCCATAGACATTTAACCATTGATGAGCACTCTGGATATGTTTCAGCCCCATTCGATATCCGCTTAATTGTCATGCCATTCAACCCCTACTCAACTGTAATGCTAAACTGAATGTCTTGGGTTTGCTGGAATCAAGATATATTATATCTAAAGCATTCCCACATGAAGCAGGAAATGGCAAACCAAAATCTTTCCAAGACAACTGCAGGGATTTGGCCATACACTCACCAGGAGTTAATACCGAATCAAAGGCATCAAAAGCAAAAAATACTACATCCTAAAACAGATTATTCTCACATATGGCAGAAAATCCGACAAGCACCTTCCCAATCTTGGCAGTAAAGACACAATAAACAACAAATTAAATAGCAGCTTGCTGCCTTTTCATAACACCCAACATCAACTGCTGAGATGGCTGCCCTTCTCTGCCTAACAGGAAAGCTGGTCCAGCCTGGTGGGATGAAGTTTATACAAACTCTGACAGGCTTAAGCTACGTCAGCTCCATCAAGAATTTAGAGGTCTCAGACACAGACGTCACTGGCCAGCCCATTCATATTCCAGGAATTTGGGACTAAATGCCTAGATTTCTGTAATTCTTGAAAAAAAAAAATGAGACAGCATTTAAGACCTCACAGGAGAAATATCGGTAATAACAATTGGAAGGAAGGAAGGAAGGAAGGAAGGAAGGAAGGAAGGAAGGAAGGAAGGACTTAGTATTGAACAACTAGGAAAAACAAACGCCGCTGTGTCATCTGAGCAGGGATATCCCAGAGGTTCCTAAGCCCAGGGAAGGAGGCACCTCTCTGGAGACATCCTAGAGGGCTCAGCAGCAAAAAGGGAAGCACATACATCTGGACGGAGGAGAGAAAAAGAGAGTAAAGAAGACGATCTCCCCGTTTCAAGAAAAGCCCTGGGGTGACCGTGGCAGACCACGCACTTCGGCGACCCTTCTGAGAAAAGCCCCTCCCACGGGCTGCCCCGGACCGCCTATTCATAACCCCCCCCCCCGATAAATGCCTCCCAGGCGCTCCGCATCAACTTGCGCTTCTCCTTCCCTCTCGCCCTCGCCGAGTCAGGCGAAGAAGGCTGAGCGGGGGTCCCCAGCCGGCGGGTTCCCCTTCCCTGCCCCCGGCCCGAGGCCATGTCCACGGGCTCGCTGAGCGATGCCGAAGACCTTCCCGAGGCGGAGATACTGGGCTGCTCCGGCAGCCTGAAAATGGACCGATGCCGCTCGTCGCCCGCCCCCCGCCAGAGCCCCGCCGAAGGCTCGGCCGGAGAGCGGGGGTCTCCCGTCAAAGGCCGGGGCGCGACGGGCAAGGCGCGGAAGAAAGCGCCGGGCAAGAAGAGCCCTCTGGGAACGGTGGGCCAGGAGGGCAAGCAGGTCCAGCGGAACGCGGCCAACGCCCGCGAGCGGGCTCGCATGCGAGTGCTGAGCAAAGCCTTCTCCCGCCTCAAGACCACCCTGCCCTGGGTGCCGCCGGACACCAAGCTCTCCAAGCTCGACACCCTCCGCCTGGCCTCCAGCTACATCGCCCACCTGAGGCAGATCCTGGCCAGTGACAAGTACGAGAACGGCTACCTTCACCCGGTCAATCTGGTGAGTGGGGCGTTCGGGAGGCGGGAAACGCGCCGACGGGGGCCTGAAGGACGCGCGCCGCGCCGCTCGCACCTGGCTCCGCGCCTTCCCGGCGCCCTCAGCTACCCTTCGCGTCCCCTTTCCTCCAAATCCTCTGGCCAGCAAAGCCCAAAAACCATGGCCGGCCCTCTCGGGGGCTCGTGAGGAAGTCGGTCTCCGAAGTTGTCTAAGGCAACTGGGAGTGTTGGACGCCGGGGCGGAAAGGCTCGCCCGCCTGGCGCGCTCGGCTCTTCCCCGTGCGCCGACGTCTTGGCGCTCGGGTTGTCCCGAGCGCTGACGAAAAGGCGCAGGAGCGGCGGGCAGAATAATAAATAGATAAATAATACTAAATCAATAATAACTCTTAAAGGAAGCCCTCCCCCTCCTTTTTTTCTTTTCTTTTTTTATCGTCCTCTTAATCGGAATCAGGAAATCGGATTGCGCCACAGAACTCTTTTCAGCCGTCCCGTCCCGTTCCCCCCCCCCCCTGAGTAATAATAACTGAAGGGAGCCGTCACGCCCTTCGCTCACCAAGTCTGCTCATTGATCAGATCGGGAGGGAAAAAAATAGCCCGATGTATTGACTTAAAGGCGTCAGTCGGCGGGATCTGATTTCGGCGTGTTTATCCGTAGTAATTGGAGGTTACTACGATTAGTACTGTTGCAACAACTACGACTGTTACGCTATTAAATCGCAATCTACACCGCTTTTTTAAAAAATACTGAACGACAACAATGGATTTTAAATGAAAAGAGAAGCCTCTCGTTTTTCTGTCTATTTTCGCACGCCTCGTCGTCAGGATTTTTTTTTTTTGCCCCCCGTAAATTATGGTTTTTCGGGAGTGGGAGGGGGGGTGTCGACCGCACACCTTCAGATTTACAACCACCTTCTCGACTTCCATCACGAAAAGGGCCATAATCCGTTTGTAGGTCACGAAGGAGGAAATAAAAAGACGGGAGTGTTAGGAAGTGGATATTTGAAGATCCCGTTATTTCTAGCAAAGGAGTTGATCATAAAGAGGGAAACGTTTAGACCCAGTTTATGGCTGAAACGAACACAAACGTTTCTAGAGGGAGGGAACTTGGATAAAACAAAAAACTTCCATTCAGGATTTTATCGGTTGAACCCTCCTTATGGAAAGGAATCTGACGGGGAGATTACATTCCTTCTCTATGTTTTCTAATTTATCTGATAGTTTACTTTAATTGTGGTAAAACAATTATTTTCATATTCGTATTAATGGTTAATTAGTTAGTAACAAAGGGCTGAGGCTCTATTTATTACTCTATGATTAGGCAAAGTGATACCCAGTGAACATATAAAAAAGCTACTGAAAGCAAAACAAACTCAGAACTCCAAACTGTTTTAACTGATGGATTTGGGAGAAGGGGTGATATATGGTTGACCTTGTTGTTGGTTTTGCTATTATATCATTACTGCATGTATATGCTTACTTAATTTTAAAAGCCATTGAGATTAGTTACTATAATAGCATGACAATGATGAATAATTCTCGCCACCACAGTACAGATAATCTACACAGATTTTATTTTGCTAGCAAGTTTGCATTCATGACATTAAAAAAACACACACAAGGTGATTTGTGGTTATTGTCTTTGTTGCCCATAAGAAATGGATAGAACTGGAATTTACTTTCCTTGTGAGGCTTCTGACCTCAGCAGAACCATAGTCAAGAAGAAACCCCCATCTCCAATTCCAAAATGCTTTTAGAGGAGATAGTACTCTTATCTTTTTCAAAACAAAACAAAAGTGAAGGGGGAGCCATGCTTTGACATTACCCAGTCAAGAATAGACAGGGGCTTAAAAAAAAAAAAAAAGATGTCTGCCACAATATGCCCTTTTAGGTTGCATTCATTATATATATTTGAGAGAAATACCATTTTCTATCAGATGTAACCCATGCTGCTAGGATCAATAAAACATGACCTATCACCCCCAAAGATTACAGAGAATTATGAGGAACATAAAGAGGGAAAAAAATCATCTTTATGGCACAAAACATATTATGACTGCGCAGCTGCATGGGGCAATACGGTGGAGCCATCTTGAGAACCTGGTTACGCTCAGTAGTGAGACTTGTCTAGTCTAACCATTTCTTCCTATTGTTTAGAAAGAACACCTGGGTTATCTATGGTTTTGTTTATTACGGTTCAAGAACTCCGCCATTTGAAATACACTGATCTCTCTCTCTCTCTCTCTCTCTCTCTCTTCCTTCCCTCGCCCTTTCTTTCTCCTCCTCTCCTTTGCCCCTCCACCCCACCCCCTTTTCTTCCTTGGCTACAGACATGGCCTTTTATGATTGCTGGCAAACCAGAGAACGAGCTGAAAGAAGCAGTGAACACAACTCGGTTGTGTGGCCCTACTGCCTCCTGACCCAGGATTTTCAAGCATGAGAAAAGCAACCTTCTCTGTGGATGAATGCATTTGTGCATTGTGTATACAAATGGGGGGTGGGGAGGCATTTCAAGGAGGCAACGAACTGCTTTCTCATGGAATAAACAAATCCTAAAACTGAAAAGAAGACCAAATGTACTATGCCAAAGGAAACTGAAACAATCACAAAGAACATATATTTAACTTTATTAACTTGTATATATATACATATATATTTTTAATATCCTGCAGCAACCGCCTTGCTGGTCCAAGTGCTGTTCTCTGGATCCAACCAGAATTTGCAACTTTCTATCTTTGTGTACTCCACTTTGTGAAAGACGGCGATTCCTAGAATCAATTATTCTGAAATCACATCTCTCTAAAAGAATACACATTAAAGATATTCTATGAATATATTTTCTTCAAACAAATTTTGCTATCATTTGTATAATTCTCTTTTTTCAACAGGAAAACAAAAATAGCGCAATGTGGTGTGTAGGTTTTTTTTTCATTTGTTTTCAAAAAAGAGAAAGAGAGAGGATTACTATTTATTTTATTTTGGTGAGCAGATTTTACAAATCTTAAAGTGACACAATGCAAAAACCATTTGACCTCAGATTATGAAATGTTTATTTTCCTAATTAAGAAGAGGTAGACCGTATCCTTTGGAGGGAAGTTTAGATGGCTAGAAAAACAGCATGTAATGGCTGTTTCACTCAAGAAGGAAGGAAGCAACCTGTTTGTCACATTTCCAATAATTTAATTAAGAATCAGAGAGATTGTGAAATTAGCAACAATGCAAAATTTGTAGCTCAATCTATACATTTGTATTGACGTTATTATTCATGTCTTAATTTAAAATGGGTTGTTTGAAAAGACAATAAGGATGGAAGGCAGACAGTTTTATATTGTCTTTGCATACCAGACAATCTTAAGTTTTATAGAATTTTTTACAAGTTATACAAACTAACTGTCTTTTCTAAACATTGTCAATGTAAGGCTGAAAACAGAAAAAATGCTGAATGAAGGTAGGTACAATTTCTTTCAGTACAATAAATTTGAAGGAATGTGTTTGAAGGATTAAAGTGATTTGATTTATACTTGGAAATAAATCCCAGGTAAGTTCAGAAGGTTTTCCGGTTAACTTCATTTATTTCCAGGGGATTTATATGATGATCCTAAGTAATTTTTTGGAAGTTTGTACCAGTTCTAAATTATACATTCCTAAATAACAGACATAAAATGAGAAAAAATACATCCAGATTACATCCCAGCATATTTGTTTTTAGCTAAGCGGCTTGAAGATCTGCTGTATATAGTTTGGATTGCTTTTTTTGTAAAATTAAAAATTATGTAGAAATGAATTATTTGAAAAGTATCAAGCAGGTCAAATAATTTTTTTCTGAATCTCACAAGGATGCAGTTAATAATTTAAATTATATATGAATCAGATTAGAGCAAAAATGCAAATAACATTTTTACACTAAAACATTTGAACTTTTGCTTTATTCTGCCATTTAGATAGTGTGTCATCCGTATACTTTAAAAATATCCAAACAAAGCAAATGCTGAAATATCTTGCTTTAAGGTTTTTTTTTTCATTCTTTTTTGTCAACCACTCTAATATAGTTATATAGTATTAGAGAAATAGGTAGACCCGAGCTATCAGCAACAGTGTTGGGGGCAATTACTTGATTGAGTTGGGTGGCTATAGAAATTGAATAAATATATAAATTTAATCAATTAATGCTTTCATAAAAATTGGTAACAGGTTATCTTCAATATCTATGCTTATTAAGAAACCCAGAAATGATTTTTTGGTAACTCGGAATACTCTTTAAATGAAACCACCTTTCTATTTATCTGGTTTAACCAAACAGTCAAGGCAAGATGATTTCTTTGTAGGACCACAAATTCAAGCTTTACCTCTTTAGAGGTCTACATCCTTTAAACTGAAGGAAAGGGAAGCCCAACACTTCTGTTTTACTAAAATGGACATATTTCTTGTCTTTGTTAACCATCTGATTTGGGCTGGCTGGGCTATATTGACAATCTCCACATGCACATGTGCATGCACCCGTACAAACCATGGGACATTACAAACCAGGCTCCCACTATAAACCCTTATCTCCAATTTGTGGATTGCTGAAGTCTATAAGGAGAACATCTGGTGCCTTTGCATTCAGTCACGTTGGTGTCTCAACTTGTCATCTGCTGGAACACTGAATAAAATTATAAGGTATGCCATATTTCCAAATGTTTTAACAATTGGATGATGCAAGGCTACATATATGTTAAATATATGCTTTTTAGAAAGTATTATGGAAGCACTTGTCATATGTGTACATTATACAGTTTTGCTTAGAAAAGGATAATCTTTAACTGCTCATCCCTATCTGGATAACAAATCACCTGGAATTTGTTATTAATCCTCAAAGAATAATTTAAATTATTGGAAGATAAAAGGATATTTTCAAATGTTCCTTTCTTTAGGGTGCACAACTTTGAAAACAGATTTAGAACTAAGTTCCTCAAGGTGGGGTCCATTAGCAGTGCAGCCTTGTTGCAAAGATAATTCCCCTTTTCATCAAGGCCCAGAGCCTCCCTACAGGTAAGATGGTGGAACCAGGGTAGTATGTTAAGGAATATTTAAAAACACTGATGGGATAATTTGGATGGGAAGATATTCTTGCCTTGTACACATTCCTGGTGCCCTGGCTTTAATTTAAACATCATTCTTTCTATTGATCTGATCTGTTACTCTGTGAGAGATTAAGCGAAGAGATAAACAAAAAGTGCTGGGCTCTTTCCTCTGAGGCAGCTCAGTCCAGAGGCAGCTGATGCACCAGATCCCAGAGAACTGTTTAACGTTTCAAGGTTATGACCGCACTGTTTACAAAATGTCTTCAGTTATTTATACTGTTATTCCCAGCAGAGGGGCTTTAAATTTCCACAGTTTCATTCGTTCATACATACATACTTACACACACACATATATATAAGTAATATTCTGTTTAATTTGATACCTGGATTCCTATTGGGAACAGTAACATTCCCATGGGGAAAAAGGTTCACTAAAGTTAAGCCTGACTTGGAAATATGTTAAAAAAAACTAACTAAAAGGTATATAAACAAGTAGAAGGAACACTGGCAGTTTTGGAAGATGTGATTAAGATTCCTTATCCAAGATGTAACTATCTTGCGTAAGCTTAAAAATCGTGTTTATTGTAGAAGTTTTAATGGACCATCTTATCACATGCATGAAATAGTTTTCTTAATGGCGTGATACAAAGATAGCTTAAGACAGACGGAAGTTGACAAAGTTTCCAGATTTTTGCTTACAAAACTCCAGGCAACATGTAATACATCTATTGGGATATTGTGCAAATTACACAATATAGACACAAGAAAATAAACATTTTTTTCTATTAACATGGGTGTGTGACCTATGACAAAACTAACTTCTGAGTAGCAGGCTCAGTAAAAAAAAAAATACACATCTAAAGACAGCCAATGCTCTTTTGCAATAAGCTAGAAATCCCCGGGATTTTTCTGCAACCAAATTTCACAGAGAAAGATTTGATCATTAATTTCTCTGTGATATCACATCAGAATTAGTTAGGTTCTAATATCCAGTGTATCCATGCTTCAGAATTATAAGGGATATTGTGGCTGTGTGTATCAAGATAATTATCTGTTACTCTTACATAGATTATGGCTGTAAAATGTGATGTAAGAAACAAGTCTAATACAACATTAATATATACTTGGTTTTAATTAACCTAGAATAACTATAGTATCCTCTTTTCATATTAAAATAATTAAGGATACTTACTTCACCTTTATGAGTAAATAGTCTTTTCAGGAGAGAGCTGCCATTAGGTTTTTATGGCATGCTAGCACCAGACTCTAAAATATGGACAGAATTAGGTCAAGAAAGTTGGCAGATCCAGAATGATCAAATTGAAATGTGCACCAAATAATTAAATGCAATGTCAATAACTCTCCATGTATTTTGTATTTTTGGTCTGTCACGTTACCAATATTCAGCGGAATTTTAACTGAATTTTAACTAGAATATATCTCACTTTTTATGTATTTAATGATTCTCCTTCCAGCTTGTTAAAAATAATTCAGCAGCATTTCAATTAAAGTGAATTTAAACCAAATTAATTAAATGCAGTATATATAAGTCTTCTCATATTTATTATGTGTCTCCTCCAATTTTGTTAAAAACTACAGCTCAACAGCCACTTTTGGAGAATCCCTGAGGCCCGTGTACAGGGCTCTGGAGGAGTCATATGGGCCCTAAGGCCTCGGTTCCCCACCCCCATATTTTATAACTATAAAGAGAGAGGGTGCCAAGAGGTAATTAGCTTATCTGAAGTATGTGCAAGATGTATGCTAAAGACTGCAGTGTCATTCTTTCCCCCTTGCCATCTTCAATGAAATTTAAACAAAGAATTGCACAGGCCCCACATTCTTTTATATAAGGTAAATGACATTTCAGCTGTATAAAATCTGCAACATGAAGATATTTATTCGTAAATAAAAAAAACATTGTACTGAGGGGTCTTTCTGCAGTCTTAGAGCCTAATTACTTGATAAATGCCAATTTTAATCTATCGTGTCATAAGTAACAGTAACCCTGGACCTTACTAGAATTGGGACCAAGGCATATGGAAGAGGATTAACCCAAAGAATCCTTCGTATTACCCAAACTTTTTGTGTCAGGAAGGAAACTGTTTTTTAACAACATATGTAATTTCGTTCTTCAAAATCTGGCCTGAAAAATATGATGTTCTCTAAATATGCTGAAGGTAAGACAAGATAACTAATCTGTAGCAAAAAACAGTTCTGACTTTTTAATACTGATTGGCTGCTACCTGCAATATAATGAATATATAACGCAATGTAATAAATCTAACCCTCTCTCTAATTTTGCCACTTTAAAAAAAAGTACTGTATATGGTTTTTTGTTTAATTAGGAAATGAATTAAGAAAGCTACATTGAATAAGCAAACATGTGCAAAGAGCCTGCCCAAAGTTTGGGGAAGACAAGAACTATGATTGAATTGAATCATTGGAATGGACTATCTTTTTTATATCAAACGAAGAAAAAGGTCTCAGTCTTGTTATCGGTTAGGTTTGAACCCACCTAACATTGTGCTCAGAGTTCATTTAAAGCAGTGTTTTTCAAATGTGGCGACTTTTAAGATATGTGGATATCAACTTTTAAGAATTCTCCCAGACAGTTGGGGAATTATAGTAGAAATCCACAGATCTTAAAGTTGCCAAATTTGAAAAACCTTGACCTAAAATGAGCCTTATTGTTGAGTGAATTTAGGAATACTCCTTCAACACAGTTCAGATGCATGTGGGGTGTGTGTGATTTTATTGACCTAAAAGTCATCCACGGGGTTGGTTCAAATCATTTCATTCCTGAGACTGAGAAGCAAACAGTACACAGTATTAGAATTTCATATTTTAAGGACAGAAAAATCACTGATATCTCTCCTACAGCCTGACAATACAAGATCATAACAATGAATCAATAATTATCCTTTTGCTGCCATTTCATGATGTCCAATCTTCTGTTGCCTGTCATCCTTCTTAAAAATAGGGCTGTCCCTGGAGAACTAGAATTCTGTTAGCAAAATACTCATATGTTTCCTCTTCAGGATTACTTACTGTGAGTTATATTATTTTTAATTAGAATATTTTCTGTTCTATATTCTCTGAGAATAACAGAAATTTATTCATAGCTAGTATTCCACCTGAAGTAAATCAAACAAATCTAAATAAAAAAAGTTCCTGAATCTACATTCTTCCCCATCTTCCATGCCATAAATATGGAATTCTGCTGAAACCCAGGAATTTATTTTAATTTCTTTCCTGTTAGTGTCTCATCTATTCTCTTCTCATCTATTCTTAAAGTATCTAGCCATGTGTAAGGTACCTGAAGCTTAAGGGACCTGAATACATGGCCATTCTTTGTGGTACAGTCACAGAAAGAGAAATTAAGGGGATCCAGCATGTTATAAGCTTGTGGCTCTACCAACTCTCTAAGTTTCGAGTGTTATTAAAAGGGATAATACAACATGAACATAACGTAAAAAGGTTTCACTGGGCGACTAATGAACTTCGGAGTATTTTCTGTGTAAGGAGAACAGTGTGTTTCAAACTTGCTGTATTGGAGTTGAAGTCCACACATCTTAAAAGTTGCCAAGTTTGAAAAATACTAAATTAGAGCAATCTGACTTGTCAAGAGTAGGAAAATGGGAGTTTGGTTTGAGCTCTAGCATGTGACTATTTAAGAACCAGTTCTCATGAATTGGGTCAGAGCAGTGGAATAATATCTCTGACTAAATGGCCATTTGGCAGTGAGCCCTCTCCAAGTGCCTTTCTGGAAAGCCCTCCCCAATAAAGCATGCTTAGTACCTAGTTTATTATCTTTTTAGTGCTAGCTAGGCAGAGATATTTTTATTCCCTGGAATCATTATTCTTTATATGGTATGTATTTTAAGGGATACTGACTCATTTTTTTTTTAAAAAAAAATAAAGAACCTCTGAATCTGATGAAATGGAATGTTGTGCATTCTATTATCTGAAAATTCATTAATAAAAGGCTAATAAGAATGTCACCTTCTGTATTAGTACAACTAAGATGTCCTAATTTTCTTTGTACTCAATAAGAACTGCAACAGCTGGCAGAATGGATCCAATAGCCGCGATGAGGAAATTATTCTTTGGATGCTACCAACACCAAAGCATAGGCCTTGAAATTAAAAAAAAAAAAAAATCAACCCATAGCTTGCATTTGCAACCAACTGCACTCTCCCTTCTTTCATTGCATCTCATTATGATTAGGAGAATTTAGACTCCATTTTGTGAACAGAGTATTGGAGATCAATACTTATACCCAATATGTCAAAAAGTGCCTCTAGCATTCTATTACTCTTTGCACCTCCTTTTATCTGGGTTTGGGCTTTATAACTGATCCAAAAGAAGTTCCCATCTATCTGCACACAAATACACAAACACCACATTCATACATGGCACTAAATTATGAGCTTTCCTTGGTTCTAGCTTAACACACTGCAGGAACCTAGTGTCTGATATGATATGCCTCAGTATGTAATTTAATAGTTTAGTTTAATACCGTAAAGGTAGCCAGTGTTAGTTTAGAGAAATTTATGTTGGTTAAGCAAATGGCTTTGTCTTTATATATATTTGTCTTTATACATGAAAAGAACCCTATGAATATGGTTTTCTAAACACATTTTAAACGTTAGAAATTGTTGAGAATATTCGTAGTTCGGGCTGTAGGTTTTACCAGGGGCCTGTTCTCCAAGCTTGCTGTTTAGCTCCCGGATGTTTCATTACCAAAGTATGTAATATCTTCAGTGGGATTTTGAGGTGAAATGTCTTGTTCATTGATATAGAGACACTTCACCCAAAAAACCCCCACTGAAGATGTTACCTAGATTGGTAGTAAAACATTAAGGAGTTCAACAGCAAGCTTGGTGAACAGACCTCTGCCAAAACATTTTAAACTTCCTTTCAACCTTATCATATGGGAGCTGGGAGGCGTGCCTTTTCCATGGCAGCACCTGCCCCATGGAAAACCCTTCTAAACACCCCCCTAAAATTTGGCAGGCCTATCCCCTTCCTCAATTTCCATAAAGTACTGAAGACCTGACTTTCCCCCCAAGGCACTCTGATAAAACGAGGTGATTGCACAGCGGAAGCTTGACTTGCACCAGGCTTTTTTTTTTTTTATGCACTTGATTTTAACAGTTTTAATATGTTTTTTGTGTTGTTTTAATTTTTAATTGGGAGCTGCCCAGAATTTGTTATAAGATGGATGGCTATATTATAAATGTTTTAAATGAATAAATAAATTTTGAGTTGTACAGCAAGATCCTTATGTTAGAGTTCCCTTCCAAGCCCCAATCAGTCCTATCTAACCGTTAGTGATGAGAACTCTAAGAGTTGCAATCTAATAATACCTGAAGCGCATACATTGTCTCTCCATGTTCAATGGCTATGATTTTGATAATTCAATAAGCTAGAAAGAAAAGTCACAGTATTACAATCATTAGCAGTTATAGCTGAAATGGAGTAGGAAACTGACTTTGTTTACTGGGGGTTGGCTGGAGAGATGGAAGCAGAGGAGGGAGAGAGAGAGAGAGAGAGAGAGAGAGATGGGGTGGGGACCTAAAAGAGGCAGAATGATGGATGAGATGGGAAAATTGTCTGGTAGTGTTTGTTTCAAACCTTTAGCAAGAATAATTTATACTTTCCCCCAAAGTCTCCTTGCATAGAGGAAAAAATAGGAAAAAAAAGAAAGAACGAAGGACACCTTATCTAAATTTGGTACAGGCTTTATCATCCCCTCACAGAGAATACAAGTTCAACAGAAAAATAATTTTCCCTCTCTTCTTTAGGATCAGGATACAGTAAGCCACAAGAAAGAAAATATGCAAGTTCTAAAGGGCATGGAAGCCTTTTCAAATTTCAGACTGATCTGCAGAAATCCTTGTAAATTTCACAGCTGAAGCAGGAAGCCAGTCTACTCTTTAAAGGCTTGTTTGTCTAAACAACTGCCGAATTAAAAATGAACAAGCATCATGCAAACATTATTACTAATTATACTTTTTCCACAGACACTTAAGAGATACAATTTTATCTACAGAAATTCCACCGAACAATGCAACAATTTTTTTCATATGAATTGAATATACATTTTTTTAATACTCATTGTTATAACTGAATATTTACTAAAATATTTAACAGAACATCTAAAAGCAATTTTCTTTTATGAAAAAGAAAGAACAAAACTTACAGAGAGGTGGTTGTATTGCTAATATCTCTGTGTTAAAAGGAAGCCAGAGGTTACCTTTGTTAAATTTATTTAATGTATATGTTTTTATCACTTTATATAGGTTTTGCCATTCCATTTCCTTTTATTTAGTATTTCAATATATGATATCAAAAGCTAATAGAGGTATTATAATGAAAAACGCAGAAAAATATTCTAACTTGCTTGAAGAAAAATTCAAAAGTAAATTGTACCAACTTTAGGATCTATAGCACATGGTGTCATATATCCAAGAATTTACAAAGATAAACATTTTCTCAATTGTTTTCTTTTTATATGCCACAGGGTGGCACTCATGTTACCATATAAACAAACAAACAATCCTACGTAGGGAAATTAAAATTATCTTCCTCTAACATTGTACAGTATTCTCTAAATTATATATATACAAAATGTTTTCAATCAGATCTGCAATCACATTAGGTAGAAAATATTTGTTTTTTAAGAATGAAAAACTAGTCTCCAGATACTGTATTTAGTACAATGCAATCCATAATACACTTCAATAAATGTATTTGTTTTCTGCAAGAATCTCTTGTCATAATTAAAATACATGAGGAACAACTGAACTCACACCTAGCATTAAGCTCCTGGTTTTGGCTAGGTGTTGGATCAAAATTATGACCAACAGATGTAAAACAATTCACTTTTTGAAAACTTTAAGTACCTGTATCTATATTCTTAGAAAGTCGCTTTATAATGTTTCTAGACGAGGCATTTGTTATGCAGTTACAGTTTTTCCATCCAAAGACATTTGGAAATGACAATATCTGCTGCTTGCAAATCATGTTTCATGGATAACTCTTAATGCTGACACTGTCCAGTTTCTTTAAGTTACTGTTATTATCATGATTATTACTGAAATGGGGCAATGAGTCCAAATCTCTTGTAAAACTTTATGTTTGACACAGTGATGAATAAATGTCCTCTCTGGAAGTTCCTAAAATCTGAGAAAAATAGAAAAACATAAGGCCTACACAACGGCTATGATTATATGGCAAACTGTAGTTAACTGAACTAGGTTTTATCCAACTAATCCAATTTTTTTAGATTTCTAGAACTACAAATTAATAATAATATTCTAAGGTAAAATGTGGTTGTTACTTTTAAGTTCATGGTGCCATATGGAAACAGCTGATGCTTTTTGATACTGTTTTTTGATAGAGCCATCTGATTTATGTATTCCCTATTCTGATTAGCAGCAATGTTTCCAGGGTTTCAAATAAAAAAAAAAGCTGGAGAAGAGTACGGGGAAAAAACCTAAGTATTTTTTAGGAATGGGTCTCCATTTTCACATACTTTCAATTTTGATCTATGATCTTTTTGGAAATTTAGTTGCCTGCAATTGCCTTGCGTGGAGGGAACATTCCATTTCTGCCACACTCAGGGAAAAATGCAAAACAGGTTAATCTTTAATAGAAAATATATTATCTTGAACTACAAGAATGTAAGTATTGCCCTGCTGGATCAGACCCCTGCCCCATCTAGGTCAGCAGTTTGGTCTCACTGGCCAAGCAACTGCACAAGGAAGCCCACTAGATTCCCAGATGACATTCAGTCACAGATTAATGGTTTCCATGAACTATGTACATAGGACCTCTGAAGTTTTAAGAGTTGTAGCTTTTGAGGAAGACATTGATAACTTTGCTTGAAGCCCTTTAATAGGGGACAATAAAGTTTAACATAGAGCCTCTTGAACTTAGTATGGGGAAATTTCAGATTTCCCATGGCCTAGAATCCCCCTCCAAACAGTTATACAGTAGTTCTTAAGCTCTCACCTTTCCCAAATTTGCATTGTCCAGAATGGGCCTGGTCACCCTCAGCCAACACAAAGTTCTTGCAGATGGAGTATGCTGAAGAAACCAGGTAAAGAAAAGCTACATGTCATTTGAATAACATACAACCAGCACCAAGGATGGTGGAGTTATTACCAGAGGGGGGGAAAGCATCCCTTCCTTAAGATGAAGTCATTTCCTTTTAAATCCATCTACTTTTCATCATACTAATATAGAAGTGGCTACTACAGCTTGCTTGCTTGCCTGCTTCATTCATTCATTCATTCTGTCCACCCATCTCAAATTCATGACAACAGGTGGCTAACATTATCAAAAATAATATAAAACCTAAAAAACAGAAAAACAAAGCAAGAAAACCCCACAATAAACATAAAACCACAAAAGAATAAAAACAGACCTTCAGTCACAGGTTAACCAAAGTATGGGCTCAGTCCCACCTCCTGATCTCCAGATGTTTTTTCAAGTTTCAAATTTGGATTACAATATTAGGATATCTTAAGGGTTTTCTTATTCAGGTTTTATCTGTGTAGCTTTTTCAAGATCGGCCAAGCTCAGCTACACAGTACACCTCTTAGACAGTGCTTCCCAAACGTTTTCCTTCATTACTCAGAACTGCTTATCATAAAGTCTTTTCAATATCAAGGAAGTCCTTATTTAAATGTCTCTATTGATTGGGTAATTGGTTTGTGTGTCTTTACCTAAAGGAAAAAGAATACTTTTTTCCTAATTTTGGGTGATTTACCCATATTTGGAAAGTAATCTTAGAGACCCAGGTCGGTAACTTGAAGTCTATCCCTTCTCACCTAGGGTTATTGTGGGGAAAATAGGAGGCATGTTAAGTTATATATAAAAAGGGAAGGGAAGGAAGGAAGGAAAATATTGCTCTCTAATTCCAGGAGAGCTATATTAAATACTTAGGATAAGTGTTAGATGGCAGACAGCATATCTAAAACTCTTGAATTCTACTGTCATCTAGCGACAGCTACTTGTTAAATTATTATTAGCCTTCAGCTACGTCCGCTTGCTCAAGAAATCAGCCAGGAAAGCCCCGAGGGCGGGAGGAAAGTGATTGCTCTCCCTGACCACGCCCCTTCTTGATTTGCATTGGAACCTTCGGACTCAACGAAGAAACATGGAATTACACCAGTGACCTTAACCGGAAGAACTGCGTTTGCATCCGGTTGCCGCTCTAGGCAGCGGAGAGGGGCGTGCTGTCTATGGTGTTCGCGCGCTTTGTGATGTTTTATTGTGTCGCAGAGATTCGGCGGCCTGGAAACCCGGAACCGTCAGGAGAAGCGGCGGCGGCGGCGGCGGTGGCCGAACGACTGTGGGTCGCTTAGCGGCCGGGTTCTTTTGGGAAGCCGTTGAGCAAGAGGAGGCGAAAAGACCGTCGGGCTGTACGTCAGTAACGGTCTTCGTGCCGCGAACCGTTGCACGCGAGCCTACGGGGAAGCGGGGGAAGAAGTGCTGGGGTGGGTCTTTTTTCTCCCTTTCCGTCTGGCACCTTGAGATCGAGGAAGAGGTGGGAGAAGGAAGGAAGGAAGGAAGGCTTCTGTGTCCAGAAAGGGCCGAAGAGTTGGTTGGGTGCAAAGGGGGCTGCTACGTTTCTTGTTCTCCCTTCTCCCCTTCCCTCCGCATCTGCTCCGGGTTTCTCCATCTTTCTTCCCGTTTCGGCTGCCCGCATTAACCCGAGCGGGACTGCAACGCCATAAGCCAGCCTTCCCCAACGCAGTGCGTGTCCTTGGGTAACAGCCAGGCTCGCAAGGGCGATAATGAGCATTGTAGCCCAAGAAATCTGGACGCTAACGGGTTGGGAATGGCTGCCTTATTCGTCCTCCCTGGGAAACAGCCAGCAGGAGGAGGAGGAGGAAACGGCGTCCTCCGCAGGCACTACTCTGTTTCCTGGCAACCTCGGTGACTCACGTTAATAAAAAAGTAAATAAGCTGAAGGCCCTACCTTTTCACCGTTGCTGTTCTTTCTTATAATCCAGTGCTACCCTCTGTGACCTCTCCTGGAGTCAGAAAGTGAAATGGATCCGTGCAGAGATCCAGTTTTGTTCGTCATATGATTGCCTCTACAGAAGCCCAGATTTATATCTTGTCACTGGGGCGAATGGCTTCGTAATACTGTGCATCCTTTTCCGAGACAGGCTTTTCTAAATGAAGTCCTTAAATAGAGCCTGGACATAGCTATCCACGGTGCAGTAACTTTAGACTGCTCTATTGTAATATGTTATATGTGGGACCTCTTCTAAAGAAATTCCAGTTTATAGAAAATACAGCTGTTAGGAACCCTGGATTGATAGAAACCATCTCATCACTTAAGTAATTACTTTTATTCTGTACCAACACAGTGTTCAATAGGTAGAGTTTCTTGCATCCCGTAATTTTTGTCAGTTGCCTTTTGAGTTCCATTGCCATCTGAAGTTACATGGATATTAATCTGAGACAGGCTTTTTGACTGCAAAACCAGATATTTGTTGCATTTTGAATTATTTTTTCTGTTTCTTGTAGCATTTTAGAAGTCTGAATAGTGAATTTTAATTCCTGTTTTATACTTTAGCCATGTTTATTAGGCCACTGCAACTATCTGTCTGCCCACTGTTACTGTTAACTTGTTTTAACTCCTTTGTTTCTAAGAAAGTATATTGAAAAGCAGATTATTAATTGCATTAAAATAATACTCAAAAAATAATCCCTCAGAAAAGCATAATTGAAGTTAAAATGCAAACGAGTATCTTACCTACCCCCACCCCCCCACCTCAGAAAACCCACCAACTGAATCTGGAGTTCATAGAACAGGATGAGAAAAATAGAATGAATTAAAATGAGCTTCAGGTTAATTAAAGTTGTCATATTCTAGAAGACAATCAGGTAAAGCAGTAAAGGTACTCTGAAAACACATATTTACAAATAGGTAAATTCACAAATCTAGGATCCCCATTTTTAGGAGCTCTACTTTAATTATTATTGGGGTCTCTCTTAGAATAAAAGAAACTTTCTCTCCAGTATCAGTCATCTTCCACTATATGCTTTCTTTTCAAATAGGCAAGGCTTGAGGTATTCTGGAATTGGGATGTGTACAATCAAATTTATATATTTCATTCAAATAACTTCTCCCTCAAATAACATTGTAAAATTGAAATAAATGCCTCTCATTGGATGACTTGCATTTTGTTCCCCATGTCTTGAACTCTTGTTACCATCTCTGTACAGCAATATTAAAATTTAGAGCTAGACAAGGTGAATATACAACAAATCTTGATGGCCTTGAGCTATTGTACTATGTGGAGAGGAGTTTACACAATTGCTTCTGTCCTGTACTCCTACTCCTTAAGAGTATTGGACCTTGCAGTGATGACAATAGGACAAAACAAGTGAATTCTATTTTGCCACTATCAAAACAATGGCAAATTTAAAACACTCCAATGGAGTGAAATTCATATAATTAGTTCTTAAGCTGAAATGCATGCCAATCATCAAAAGAAGGAACTGATTCCTTCAAAATATATAACTAATACGCACATCTTAAAAATTATTAAAGAGTAACTGATGAATATTCTTAATTGGAGGATGGGGTAATATTGTAGATGAACTTTTGAGTATATTACAGAGCATCCAGCCCTTTGAATCTTACTGGATCTTATTAAGTGCCTCTTTTTCTACCCGCAACTCTGAAATTTATGATAGCATCCTAGAGAAAAAATGCAGAAGTATTTTTTATGAATCAGTGAGTGTATAATTAAGAAACAAGTTGTGTATATGTTCACACATATCTGAACTCGGGAATAAATAAATCACTATTTGGTGGGAAATGAATTATTTTTAGTGGACAGCTGCTAGCTAACTTGCAGAAAGCACTTTCAGGAAATGGTATCCAGAACTTGTGTAGGTTTCCTGTATTATCCTTTTCTCCAGTAAAAGATTTATATTATTTTTTTTCCTCTCAGTTCCCCAGCTGCTATCTTGAACTACCAGATGGTCTCTTTCTTAGTTTTGAATTTTGAAATAAAATTTTTGAGCTGAAAAAAAAAGTGTGAATAGTGTGAGAACCATCAGTTGTTACTGAACAAGTCCTGTTGTTCCTTAGCATTGGTTAAGGGTGATAGGTATTGGATTTCAAAAAATCATATAATATCCATTTTCCACTCTTTTTTGTAATTTAAGGTGAGCTAGTTAAGGAATGGGTTGAAGATTTCCCTAATTCAGATACTTCAGACTATGTTTAGACAGATTTTTATGGCTGAAAAATAATTGTTAAAAATTAAATTGAAGTAGAATAACTTTAAAGAATGTGTTCATTTTGGAATGTGTTTAGATTTTCCAGTGATAACTTAAGATAACTTCTTGATTAATAGATCTCACCCATTTCTATGCATTAACTTTGGACATGATACCATCCAGTATGAGCAAGCTCCAATTAAGTCCAAATGAAGTGGCACAATTTCTTTTGCATAAAAGAGTAAAAATGTACATTTTATACTTTGGTAGAATATATTTCATAATTTAAAAGAACGTGTTGCATAGAAATGCTGAATGTCACAATGTATTTCTCTCTCTGCCATCAGGAGTCAGGAAAAACATTAACAATTCAGTTAGGTTTCTGTTTCTTAGATTCTTATGACTTGGAAATAGTATAAATTCAGGACTGTAATTTCCTTAGTCTAAATCACTAAGGATCGTGTTTATCTTATGCAGGAAAAGTGTTTTAAGACTGGTGATGATACACCCTGAAAAAATTTGTATGAGTATAAATAAAAGGTGAATCTGAAGCAAACAAAACCTCTTTCCAGAATTTTGAAAATAGATTTATGGTTAATTAATACAGAAAACAATTTGGTTATGAACATTATGTTTAGCAAGGTACTACTAGGAATAAATTACATTGTTTTCAAAAATGTATTAAATTAATGAAAGGAAAAGTATCAGTGAAGTAATATTAATTTCAAACAATTGTAATAACAAAAAGATTGAAAAAGAAAAAGCTCTGGAAAATTAAATTATAAATAAAACAATTTCAGGGCTAACTCTATTGTTTGAAAGTATTCTTCGTAGTGCATTTTGCAGATGATGGTATGTTTAACAACTTTGGTTGGCTAAAAAAAATCATATTATCTTTGCATTAAATGGATATCAATTTTCTTAGATCAAACAGTTGTAAAAAAATTCTAATCAAATCAGAGAGATGTTTGTAACTTAAACATTTATATATGTGTATGTGTATATATATAGAGAGAGAGAGAAAGAGAGAGAGAGAAAGAGAGAGAGAGGGGGGGGAATGTTAGTTATCAGGAAGATACTATTTTTCAAATTAGGACATCTTTTTGGGAGTGAAAACATACTGATATACTTTTTTGATATACTTTTTGATAGATATCAGTTTAACTAATGTCTCTTACCCTCAGGATGTGATCTTTCATGGTATGGTGCTGGGAATCTGTGTTTTAAATCATCCCAATGGATGCAGACAGTGACGTTGCATTGGATATTTTAATCACAAATGTAGTCTGTGTCTTCCGAACAAGATGTCATTTAAATTTGAGAAAGATTGCTTTGGAGGGAGCAAATGTGATATACAAGCGTGACGTTGGGGTAAGTAACATTTTAATTTTAGAGTTCTCTCATGTATTATTGAAAACTCTAAACAGCTCAAAACACAACAAAACATTTTAGATAGTTTATTTGACGATGGAAAATAATTTTACAATGTGTCAGTAGTAAAGACAAAAATTGTATTATTGATTCAGCAACTTTGAGAAAGTAGCATGAAGTGCTAATATAGCTTGAATGTACTAAGTTTTATTACTTTTAAAGATGGTTTAAAATTTCTGTAGAATATGGAAATTCAAATATCAGAGGGTAGTTGGAATAAATGATGTCTGTACTTTTTATTAGTACATTTACAAGTTCAATTAAACTTGCAGTAATTAAACTGTTAACTAGTTCCTAGTATTAAAGCTGCTGCTTCTTCCTCTTCTTCTCCTCCTCCTACTCCTCCTCCTCCTACTACTACTACTACTACTACTCCCTCTCCCCCTCCGCCGCCACCACCACCACCACCTCCTCCTCCTCCTCCTTGGGTCGATCCAGGGCATCTTC